CCTGCATGCAATAGCCTAGATAATATTGTTTGTGCCTGGTATGGAAAGTAAGGCAGTTTTTTGCTAATGTTTTTCTTTCATGAGGCCCAAATGAACGTATTTTTTTGAAAATGTGAAGGCATCCCTTAGCATCCAGATGATCTGTTCTGAAAACAAGAGTGTTATAAATGAGAAACCTGACTGTGGGTCACTAATTGTATCAACACAGCATCTGAGAGACTGAAATAAAGCAAGAGCTATGCAGTGTTTATATAACTATCAGTACCCAGAGGGCATTTCCAGACCCTCTGCCCTGAGATTTGGAGAACACTTGAAGGCTTGGACTGTGCTTTGCATTCAAGACACTCTTCTCTGTGTGCTTTGTAAGCAGGAACTCTGATAAGCTTTTTCCAGTTTTGGAAATTCAGACTGCGTGAGAGTGGGTTGTGTTTACGTTATAGTCAAGCTGGAATGGATCCAATATGATTTAATTTAAATGTCTTTGTTTTGGGTATAACTTTTGAGTTATTTTTTCAAACAGAATGATCTTTCTTTCTTTTTAAATGCAATAAATGTTTTTTTGCCCCCTTGTTTAAACGTAGATAACTTTATAATTAACTTTAAGCTGGGAAACTTTCCAACAGAGTATAATTATTCTTTTCTTTTGTGCAATGCTTTTTATTAGTGCTATGAAGCTGGGCTGATGTCACAATACATAAAGACGTGGAAAAAAGGAGACGTGGTCTATTGGCGTGGGCCGTTTGGAGGGTTCCCATATCAACCTAATAAGGTTAGTTCCCTCAGAGACATAGGATACTTCAGCTTGTGGCAGCTTGCTTTATTTAATACTCCAAAGGGAAGACATCGATTTGATTACTGTTTTCATGATTATTTTAGGGACTTCCTGGGTTACTGTACAGTGCTACAGCATTAGCAGTCAGCTGGAGAAAGTACACCTTATTGAACTGCAGAATATTTAAGAACGAAGAGGAGAGGGAGGTGGATGGGAGACTGGAAAATATTAGCAAGGCTCTCTGGTCATCACTTGCGTTGGAAGTTCCTGATGTGTGTGACAAAAGGAACTTACTTTCCACCAGCAATGACTGTGGATGGGTTTTTGCCTTGTCTGAACCACGTTGCTGTTTTGTGACTGAGCACGAGTGAAGGGGAGGTGTTGATCTTTTTCTCTCTTGGGTATTCCCTGAACTGTAGCAGCTCCAGTGAGGTGTCTCCTCACCCAGCCACTCTGCAAATGTTGATCCCACTTGCTGATACCAGGCTCGCTGCAAAGAAAGGCAGATCCAGTTTCAGGGGAAGGCTTCTCACACATACAAATTCGGTTACTTAATTCTGACCTTTCAAATGAGGAGCAAAATTGACACACTGATCATTAAGATCCCAACGCCTTGTTTTTTCTTCTCCCCCCACCCTCTCAACAAAAATAAGGTTATAAAATCCCAATGGCCAAGCTCCATGCAGAGCAATTGTGTTCTGCATCCTGAAATACTCTCCCTGCTGTTTTAGACTACTGTTCCCTTCTCTTCTTAGAAGCTTCCAGATTATAATTTGGGGCAGAACGTGGCTGTCATGCCTAGAAGTGGCTGCATTCAGGGGCTGTCTGGGTGATCCGTGTACATGGAGTTTGCAAAGCACCTGAGCAATCTTTAGAACAACTTGCTGTAGAATTTTTATTATTGTTTTTATTTTTATTATTTAATTAATGTTTATTATTTGTTAATTATAACAAAGGTCTCGAATATTAGTTTAATAGAAAAATTTTCTTTTATCTCTATTTACTGCCAATAAAATAGGATTCAGATTCAGGCAGATCAGATCTATTCACAATAAACTGCCTGGTCAAAACAGCACAAGCAGCCTCTGAGGACTTAGTAGGGGCTTAAGTCCCAGTTCTGGCCTTGGTGCCCTGGCTGGCAGCTGGGGAGAGTGCTGGGAACCTTCTGTCCTCTGATGCACAGCACCTTACTGCCTGAACATCCTTATCACAAGCAGAGGGAATGTCCCTGCTTGTAGGTGGGAAGCACTCTGTGCTGTTGGTAGCTCTTTGAGAAAAGTGAGATAACGCACCAGGAAGATAAGTGGATCATGATGGAGAAGAAACCATTTCCTCCAGAGAACGTTCAGGATTGTACTTTGCAGCATCTAAGGTAAACACAGGGATCATTTCCAGAGAGAAAACAAGACCCAGTGGGTCAGCACAGTGTACTGCAGAATTGAAACTGAAATATAAATTAACTGAAATCAAGGCTAAAGTTAAGATAAATTATTATATTTGGGTAAAATCCAGTTTTGTTAGATTTTATATATAAACCCTGAAAGTGCTAGCTCTAATCCTTTGCAGAAAAATACATTCTGAGATTTGACTTTACCATTTCATGACCTTCTGATACCTTCTCTCTCAAGGAGCCCTTTACCAGTGTGGCAGCAAGGAGGAACTGACCCTGAGCACCTCCATTTCCAGTCACCAGCGCTCACTCACAGTTCTCTGTTTTGTTGTTAGCATGGAGAACTCCTCATGCTGGCGTCCGGTACCGGCCTCGCACCAATGCTTCCCATCCTCCAGTCCATAACAGATGATGAAGAGGATGAAACCTTTGTAACTCTTGTTGGCTGCTTCCCTACATTTGACAAAATTTATTTGAAACCTCTTCTCCAGGATCTGGCTCGATACTGGAACATCAGAATATTTTACGTCCTAAGCCAGGTAAATAAAGGGATATGAAGCACATTTGTGTGAGGGTTCTGTGTGCTGGGTGAGCCTCTGACTCCTCTGCTTTTCCATGGGTGTGATCTTAATTCTTTCCCAGTCATCAAGGCTGTTTTGTGATCCAGTAGCTGCTGTTCTTAGATCTGCTACATAGTCTCACGCTGCTGCCAGTCTGGGGAATTTCAGGGTAACGACCATTGCTGCTTGTTCTTCTTTAGCTCCTTGGCAGCTGCTCTGTTGGGATGGACCCAACTGACTGATCTCCAGGACTATGACTGATTCATAGTCACTGTTGATTGTTGCCCCCCGCTTCAGACAGTTGTTGCTGCACCTAAACATTTGTGCCAAGAAAACTTGACTTTGGGAAACTCACAGCAAATAAACCATTTCTTCTTTCCTAATACCAGTGCCTTGATCTGTCCTTATCTTCCAGACAAATACCCCTATCATTATCTATCCCCATCATTCATTGCTCATGGCTAGAGCTCTCTTCTTCTAGTATGTTAGGACCAACTTCCCAGCAATTATTTTTCACCAGCTGACCCATTTTTAAACTTCCTAAAGTTGTTTCTCCCTCTGTATTTTTTTTTTCTGCCAAATCCACGGTGTGAGGGCATACCTCTCGGTGGTCTTACATTTTGAGCAGTCTTTTTCATTTCCATTTGGTCCCAAAGTTGCCCGTGTTCTGCACAGATTTGGTAGTTGAAAATTATTTCCCTCAGAAATGAGGATTCATTGCAGGGAGGATATAGAAAGAATTATTTATGCTAAGGGAATGAATCCCATTGCATTTTAGTTTCTCAGATGAATCATTTTTTGTATCTCTGTGGTGGATCTGCCTCATACATTATGTTCCACATATAGCCTCAGCAAGTTGCGATTGGGTACAGAGAAAAGTACTTGTGACTTAGGCATCCCCTCAGCTGCTCTGTGGGTGTGTCACTGCTAATTGTCTCTGGTGACATGGCTTAAATACCCTTTTCAGGACAGTGCTGTCTCAAGAGCTTGAGGAGGTCTTGAAATTCAATCAGTGAAGGGCAAGAAACCCACCTGACCCCTGTCAACACTGTCTGCCCCATGTCTACATCTCTCCCTTTCCTCTCTTCTCTGAGCAGGTTTGTTGTAGTCCAGCACCGACTCATGCATCCTCCCTTTTACAGTAAATATCTGTTTGTCTCAGTATTTCACTCGGCTGCCTGTCACCATCTGAGCACCTTCTGCTTCTAATTAATCGCAGTAGGGGAGTCCTCGCCGGATGTAATGCCATGGGATCTCACATTTCTCATGGGATCAGAGCTGTGTTCGCAGCAGGGCTGGCTTCTTTCAGTTTTGGTTGAGGGAGATGGGACTGAAAGAGACTTGGGAATGGAAGAGGCAATAGAGAGGAATAGGCTTGGGAATAGAAAAGGCGCACTGGGAAGTGGTTCTCGAAGGAGAAGGTTCTGCAGCATTTATTAGCGATAGTTACGCTCTGGTTTTGCTCAGTCCCCTCTGAGTGGCCGGGTCCTGTGGCAGGGAGAGATGTGATCTGGGCTTTGGAAGAGGAACACAGCTCCTGGGAAGGGGCAGTTCTACCCAGATGGAATCACAAGGCTGAAAATTGTCCTGTGCAGTACTCTGAGGGGAGGAGGGAGATGCAGTGGTAAGCCATCAGTTGTCCTTTTTAATGTGCCACACTGCAAACCTTTTGCCTTTTCAGGAGACTTCACTGGAAAAACTTCCTTGGAGTTATCAGGAAAACACCTACACTGGTCGTCTCAATGAAGACCTGGTGAAGACAATAATAAATTCCTGTCGAAGAAAGCCATTTGTCTTAATCTGTGGCTCTTCTGCATTCAATGAAGATATGAGTAGATACTTGAAAGCTTCAGGAATTGAGGAAGATTCCTGTTTTGTCTTCTAGTGGGATGTTCCTGACCTGAGGAACCTTAGACCGAGCCTTGGACGTCCTTGTTTCTCTGCAGACATTGTTCAAAATTGGTTATCTTGATAGACTGAGTTCCTTGTGCATGTACTTTCATAGGCCTTTAAATGGAATATTTATCTCCAGTATGATTCTCACTCTTGAGAGTGTTTTAAGGATCAGGTGCCACTCCAGAGTGGCTGGTACAATCACCCACACCTTAGGGAACAGCACAGTAATGTGCTTCACATGCAATTTTAAGAGAGAGATCTCCTAAGGGTGCAAAAAAGCTTCCGAGTACACAGCTCTACTGTGATGTGGAGGCCAGTGACTCGCTTAGCAGTCTCTGTTAGTCTGCAGTGCTGTTGTGTCTTGTTAGATGTCCAGAGGAGATTTAATCCTCGAGGAGAAGACTGCCTGGCTGAGGGAACAGCAGAGCACTGGCTTGGCACTCTGGAGTCCGTGGGGTTCATTTTCATTGTGTCATTATTTTGCTGGGTGATGCCAGGCAAGTCACTTCAGCCTCTCTGTGCCTCAGTTGCCCCATTAGACACCAGTATAGAGGAGAAGGTACCGATCTCCTCTGAAAAGAGCCTTTCCAGCCCCGTACAGAAAGGCTCTGCATAGGGTTGGAATTGTATGTGATGCCCAGTGAGGGCACAGGCAGCTGTCCTCCTGCCCCAGCACAGCCTGCCCTGCTTACCCTGATCATTAACCCTTGTCATGCTGCCTAGGGAGAGAAAGAGAGTGTCCTAGTGTGTCCTAGAACTCTGTGAGAGATTGTGCCCGGGTTGTAGCTGCTGTCCGGCAGGGAGGGTGGTGGTTTGCTTTCCATGTCCCCTAAGTGTTGTATAATAGCCCTGCTTCATGGAATTGAACCTCTTTGTGAATAAACAGCTGTTTCTTTTTGTCACTGGACTCTCGAAGGTGCCCACAGAGGTCCCCTGAGGGTACAAAAACAGCACCTGAGGAGTCAAAGCTTCATGGGGCTTTGCTAGAGCACTCCTCCTCTTTCAGGCCAAGGTGCTGCTGCATTTTCTGAGAGATACCCACTCTCCACTCTTAGACCATTGTATTTACTAACCACACCTGGAAATACAGCCTTTCTGCACACCTTTGTGTTTTTCTGTTTCTTCCCACTCATAGAATCATAGAATGGTTTGGATTGGAAGGGACCTTAAAGATCATCTAGTTCCAACCCCCCTGCCATCAGCAGGGACACCTTCCACTAGACCAGGTTGCTCAAAGCCTCATCCAGCCTGGCCTTAAACACTTCCAGGGAGGGGACATCTACAACTTCCTTGGGCAACCTGTTCCAGTGTCTGACCACCCTCACAGTGAAGAACTTCTTCCTAATATCTAACCTAAACCTCCCCTCTTTCAGCTTAAACCCATTTCCCCTTGTTTTGTCATTAATTGCCACTTCATCCCATGTTGGGGTTTCCCAAGCTGTGACAGGTGATGTTATATTATCATTCATGCCTTATTTTTTACCTCTATCAAATAGTATACCTTTCACAAAAGAGATATAATTCAAGAGTTACTCAAAATAAGCAGTGTGCACTAAAATGGTGGCTCTGATTCACATGTTGGGGTTCCCCTCGCATCTATGAGATTTGTCTCCAGTTTTCTGTTAACTTCCTCAGAGCAAGGGCTGACAAGAAAGCCATCTCCGTAACCTAAAACAGGGTTCTGGCTTTTAATGCAGAGCTCCAGGGAAAGTGTCCATGGTGGATCCAAGGCAACCTCTTGGTTCCCATCCAAACTGTGTGCTTCAGCTGCTGTAAGCCAGGGATGATGTGGAGGTGCTTCTGCACAGCGTGGGGCTGATAAAATAAGGAGTTGCTTTCTCCGGTCGCTCTCCCTGCTTTGGCCTTAGCTAGGGACATGGAGAAAATATGTTCCTCGGGTATCACATACTCTGAAAACCTTACCTGTATACCTTTTGCTTTAAATATTCTGCCTTTTAAAGATTTTACTAAAAATCCACCCAGCCTTTTTTTGCAAAGGCCTGAAGCAAAACTTCACGCTGGCTTTGGAAAAGCGACGACTTTCTGTGGGAAAGCTGGGACCGTTCCTTTAATCGCAACCCCAATATGTCTGGGTATTTCAGCACATATGGGCCGGGATGGTTAAACCCTCCCCAGCTGGTCCGGCCGTTCTGCCGCGAAGCCTCCTGTCTTTGTTCGTGGCTGCAAGGGAGGGTGGTGAGAGACGGAGCAGGCTGCGAGTGCTGCGGGTTGCAATCCTGCAGAGGCAGGCTGCCGGGGGAGCGGGAGGAGGTGACGCCTGCCGAGCCGGAGGGGACGGGGGTCTTTGCGAGACATTCTCCATGGGGGAAACGATGTCCTTGGGAGTATGAACTCGAAGGGGCCTTTAAACTGGCCGTGGGCACTTGGTTCTCTATTTTCTGCCCTTCTCTCCCTTCCCCCTCCTGCCTTCTGTTGTTTCTCAGGCTGGCTCTCTTAGGAGTCCCTTCTTCCCAATCTGTCCCCCGTGGGGACAACCCCTTTCAGACGCTTGCGTGGTGCTCCTGCAAAGGCAGGGATATGGGATGGAAAGGCTCTCGGGCAGAATTTTCCCTACTGAGGGAAGATGAGAGGTTTCCTTCTCTCTGGAGGCCTGGGAACTACCCCACGGTGGCAGCTCTATAGGGAAATGGTGGGGATGCTGTCGATTATCGGGGGATCTGTGGGGCTGGAGGTGCCTGAGCTCTGTGCAGTGGTGGGTGGCAGGGGCTCACACCTCACACCCTGCCTTGGGGCAGGGGCAGGGGGGTGCTGGCAGGATGCACCAGTGCTCTGGCTGCCCCCCAGGAAGCCCCCGCTGCCCCTGTAGCACTGTGCCAGGGAGAGGGGCTTCGCTTTGCTTCCTTTCTTCTTCCTCATGTGCAGCCTAAATACCTTCTTAATTTCATCTCATTATTTCCTGCCTAAATAATTCCCGTTTCTCCTGGGGACTGTATTTAAACCTTTGATCTTCTCTGAAGTCTAACAGTCCTGATCACATCCTTTCTATTTCAATGAACCAAATGCCTTTTTGACTCATGATTTATAAATTTAATCACAGAGGAATAGAGGCAGGGGGGATTAAGAA